ACTAAGGTAATAATGCTTCTTCCAAAGAGTTGTAAGGATTAAAGAAGATCCCAAAGAGAAAGAAGCTGGCCCAAAGTCCTTCTTGATCACTTTGAATTTCTTTCCCCACCTCCACGTGAAGCTGGTATTCCTTCTCTATCTTCTGTGTTTTGAGGACCTCTTCATTTATGTGACCTTCTGTAGTTCTGAGATGAAAGGGAATAACTTTATCTTCATTATAGATGTTACCATCAAGGGGTGTGGTTGATGGAATACCGATATGGATGAATGGCATGGCATGTCTGCAAAGAATATTAAAAGAATAAATTAAATATCTGCTATATAAGATATAACTAAATGTATAATACACAAAGGTATGTGAATGTATCATATATGCATTTATAAAGTACTATACATATACACTATATGAAAAGTAAATTGGCAGACTTTTAAAAAGGGATATACAAGTACTTGATGTATGTCAATTACCTTTTTTTTTTTTTAAAGATTATTTATGCATACAGAACTGGGGTACAGACCAGAGATGTGGGAGGTGAAAGGATTCACCAGAGACAGAGAGAGGAGCAGAACAGGTAGATGTACCAAAATACACTGCTGAGGGGAGTAGCAGGTGGGACAGGAGAGGTCTGCCACGCCAGGTGGGTCAGCTCCCTGGCAATGGGTCACTTCCCTAGCCAGGGATCAAACTTGTACTGCAGTGGATGAGATAGCTTCACAGTACTGTGCTTTAAGCCTTTGCTCCACCAGGGAGGTCCTTATATCATTTACTTTCTCTGGGTAGAAAAACTAAAGATATTTTCAGTAGAAATGTATAATTTCTACAGTCAGAGAAAAAGTGAAAATAATAAAAGACCATTCAGTTTAAATACATGTGCGCTCATTTATCTTGACTTAATACAGGGAGAAACCATTTAACTATATGTTGACTCTTGTGGCACCTCACCCCCACCCCTAGGAAAAGGCTGATACTAAGTCCGTCCTGTGTCTCAGGGTTGAGGCAGTTCCCTCCCTGACAAGAAATCCCTCCTCTACCCCCTTCTAGTATCCCTCCTTCCCTCACCAGTCCCACATCTTTGTTAGTTGTGTTCAACTTACAGTTCTGACTCTGGTCACAAGAGGGCACCCTTACTTCTAGTTTCTAAATACTCTTCAAACCGGAGATTGTCTTGTTAGATTTGATGAAAAAGTTCATTTTCTGCATACTGGTTATAAGTCAGTATATTCAGGGGAACCCCGCTTCTATTTAAAATATTCATAGACCAGGAGGAGAGAGTGGGCTGTGGGGGCTGTGGATGGTGTGGTGGGAGTGGGAGAGAACAAGGGAGATGGACTATGGGTGCTTTGGTGGTGGGAGAACCACAGTGACTACACCTGAGAGGAGACATTCTATATTGTCCAAAAACTAACAATGACATGATTTTTAAAAGTATTACATTTAAATGTAAAAGGTTAAACAAAAAACAAACAAATTTGAAAAAAAAGAAAATATTCATAGAAAAAGAGAGGACATATAATTGGGTTCTTCATTCATTTGATTCAACAAATATACATAGGTACATATTTCCATGCCAAACTCTTTTCCAAACTTTATACATTTATATCTTTCTGCCTAGCAGACGCTTCAGTCCAGAGAAAGAAAATAATGTAGAAACTCACCCAAATGCATGAGCCAACAAGAATATCATACCTAGCAAGTCTAAATTCATTATTCCCTAAGCCCCAGAAAGTTGCAATCTAAATTGGATGGTGGGAAATGGGAAGAACATAGAATTTTAAAAAATATTTTATTTATGCATACAGAACTGGGGTATAGGCTAGCAGTGCAGGGGCGGTGAGAGGATTCACCAGAGACAGAGTGGAGAGCAGAATAGACCGGCCGACAAAGTAAATTGCTGAGGGGAGCAGCAGGAGAGACAGGAGAGGTCTGCTGCGCCATGTGGGTGACCTCCTTGGCCAGGGATCGAACTCATGCTGAAGTGGCAGCAGCTAGCTTCATAGTGCTGTGTTTTAAGCTATTGCACCACCAGGGAAGGCCAGAACATAGAATTTGATTCAAACACATCTGAGTTAGAACAGAGACTCTGTCTCTTATTTATTTGTAAAAATAATTCAATTAATTGGTATTTCTGAATGGGAGAGGGAGAAGTCTTTGTGCATTTTTCAAGAACCCATACCTGATCCCTCTAAATTGCCTCCCAGAGGGGCTCCACTATAATGCTTTTTCCTGAGAGCCAGGGTACCCTGGTTGAAGAGGGTTCTCGCCAGGGTCCTGGAACATCAATGCTTCTGCTCTGGATGTGGCGAGGCAAGTTACTTCCTGCACACGTGAACCTTCTGTATTAATGCAGAGGTGCTGAGAGGACCAGAGAACTAGGCCTTATATGTTACTAATCCTCCACCACATATCCATCAATGCCTTCAAAAGTATTAATGCATCAATGCACAGCTCAACTGCCCTCCTAGCTCCCAAATCCTAGACATGGCCTGAAGTGCACAGGGGTGTTCACATAAGAAGTGAAACCCCCTTTCTCCTGAGCTGTAGGAAACATGCCTTTGCAAACTCCCTTACCTGGGGTCTCCTGTGCCTCTGGGGCCAGGCTGACGCCGACAGGAGAAGCACTGTACCAGGCACACAGAGCTAAGTCACCACAGAACCATCCAGACGGGCAGGGACACAGCCAAGGCCCTTATAGGAGTCTAAGAACGGGATAGGAGAGGGGTGGGTGAGGACTGACTGACCTGAGGTCCAGCCCCACTGGGGGAACAACTTCCCTGGGCTCTGAAGGAAGGGCCAGCTCCCATCTGCTTCAGCCCCAAGTTAGCTGGCCAGGCCCAGGTCAGACATCTGCTTGCTCAGACTATCCCAGCCATGGCTCTGTTAGGAACCCCTGGGCTTTGTGTCCTTCCCTACGCAAGGTTGCCCAGAGAGACAGGGAAAAGGAGGGGAAGGCAAAGTGCCCTGACCCGCAGTGGGGACAGCCATCCACCT